GCATAAAAAAATGGGCCAATCACCATTAACTACCGCTAGCACTATCCCTTAGTCAGGCTCTCTTGGTCTAAACAGCAATAAGCTTGCCCCGCCAAAGTAAGTATGCCCTCTTTGACATGTAAAATGATATTTCTTAATTAACATCTGGCATAACTTTATTCTGTCTGCTAGAAGAAGAAAGGAACAGATACAAAGTACTTCCTCAGTAACTTAACATAAGATATTTTTGCAGTTCAAATTGAACTGCAAAAATGTCTTGCATTAAATTACAGAGGTACTATTGCCCAACGACAAAAAAATATTTTAAATTAGCATCCTGTAGTTATGTCTTGATCAGAGAAACATCATAAGTGCATCTTGTAACATGGCAGCAAATTATTAAACAGCACATTATTTTTCAGTTGAGGAAAATGAGTTGAATATGTACATCAGTAGCTTCACAAAATGACCAGCAATCCAGAAACAGAAGATTGCTGACCTTCAGCATGTGGCCACCATAACCATCAATGTTCTGCGACAGGGAAAGCTGATCCGATCTTGTTAACCCCCATCCTGTAGCACTTGATGTTGATCGCATATGGACCCACATGGACATGGTTATTATCCTCTCCAGCAAAGAAGCAGCGCGTGTAGAGCGCAATCTCAAACTCAGGACTGACGCCAATCAATGTGCTGGATACAGATTTCAGCAAGCCATGCCACTCAAACTGAATGGTGAGCAGCTGCGTCTGAGAGTCTGGCTGCAGACAAGCAATTCAGCATAAGTGTTACGATATAAACATATGCCATGTATGTTCAAATCATAGACTCACATGGTCCCCGTATTTCTTTGGAAATATGTACCCTTGGTAATCCACATTGCCTTTGGATTCTTCCAGGTAAAACTGCATATTAGTCACACAACACCATGATAACATGTCTTTCAGATAATGGAACCATGCTGCTGAAATAACACAATAACTTGCCTGAGTCCAGTTGTGGAAGTCTGTGACCTCATGCTCACCTCGACACCGCCCCTTGATCTCTCCTACAAAGACATGCTCAAAGGCAGAAGAGCTACCAGAGCATCCACCCCTTCCATACAAATCAAACCACAGGGATGCCAGCATTTTCGTGAAGTCCTTCTGGTCCTGAGACGTGATTCCCTTCAGCACCAGATACCGGTGTAAGAATTTGATTGGTGCACTTCTAGCAATCTCCTCAATAAAAGCAGCTTCTTCATTCTTGTCCTGCTGGGTGACTAATTCCTTGTATCCTTGGCGTGGGTTGTAGTTGTCAAGAAGTGCACAAAAGCGAGAGTATGTAGGCCTCCGCAGTACGTCATCCTTCAGCCAGCTGAACAAGTTTTCAGATGCCATGTCACCCTTCTGATAAACCTTCTTCCCTTGGCCACATTCGATTGTGTAGTCCTTACCAGGAAGGAGACGGTTCAGGTCAAGCTCTCATAGCCGACAGCATGCCTTTGACAAATGATTGAGCTACTCCCTGCTAGGCTCTACATTTAGACCATGGCGGAGCTCATTGACATCCTCAGAGTATTCTTGTTCAGAAGGTGGACTTTTGTATCGCTTCCATTCCTTGGAGTTCTTCATACAGTCAATAAAAGTTAAGAATCCATGAAAGAGCATCTTACAAATTACTGATATAGCTATGACCGCCATCCTTCCAATCAGAATTTTCAAATGGTATGCAACTTTCGGTTGATACTATCAGAATTTTTTCTCGAACACGCGTCATTTGCATTAGAAGAAAGGCTGTCTAGCGACCCGACCTGGTAAGGATCGAAGTCTATGTGTTTACCGTGCTAGTCGCTGCATCGACTTGCTAGCACACACAGTACTCGATGAAATAACACACATCTCTTTATTACATCGATAGTCCAGGAGCAATACAATTTATTACAAGATATGACACAATGCCAAATAAAAGAAATACTGCGGAAGCAACGTAGTAAATGAGGTCCATCAACTCCACGAGCAAAAGTTGAGTGTAGAACATCGACCTATCGCACCTTAATCTTCGTCGGATATATCTGCAGTTGCAGCCATATAGGTCAGTACATTGAATGTACTGGCAAGTCACATCATAAGTATAAAGAACCTATTTGTACATGCAATTTGGCTGGTGGAAAGTTCTAAGTTTAATTTTGCATAAAGCTAGTTTTTTCCTAGAATAAAGATATTATTCTACCACTACAATAATAGCATAGGATGAGTTGGCAACCCCAACTCAATCCATTCCCAAAGTTTATTTAAAATCTCACTGTTTAAACTAAGGATGATGAAATCTCTCGGCATTTCCACTACTAGATGCTCAATTTGTCCGCAACCGGGGACACGACTAATCGATTAGGTTGACACTCTGCAGAGGTTTGTGCTCTTTTCCCCACAAGACTCGACCACCTCCATGATCGGAATATTGAGACATAGTCTTTTGAAAGTGTCCCCCCTTAACCCACGGATAGGCCGGCACACCTACATATTCTACATCAACCGGCCTATCCCGGAAGAGGTCACACTATCTACTCAACTAAGCCAGAGCCCATATTGGCTTGTGGCTGCACACGTAAGCTTCTAGACATGAAAATACGTTTGATCCCTTTGATCCTGAACGGACGAACCACTAGTGGTGCACCACCATGGATTTCCCATGCATGCTCCCACTGTACTTTGCCACCATTCAAACCAATTTCTGCCCAGGTAGTTCATTTAAAAGTCTTGGTCCTGATTTCTACTTTGTCACTCAGGTCTCGCCATGAACACTCCCCAATCCACGTCTACATTAGTGAGGCAAAAATAGATTTACACAGTGGTGACAAAGATTGTATAGTTCAGACTTACCTCAAATGAACTACTAGGTAAAAGCGTAGCCATCCGACATAAAATTCCTACGATACAATCCTACCACAAAGGACTAAGTGCATATATAAAAACATAGGTAAGTAAAAGTATGGTCAAATGTGAACTTGCCTTGGTACTGCTGGTTCAACTCTAAAGAATGATAATATTCTACTTCGCACTCCGGACAATCTATCGCAAAGTAATAAACATACATAAGCAATCATTTCAAAGAACCAACATAACATGCAAAGCAAAAAGGCTCGAAAAAAACAAATGAACACGCAACACACTTAACTATCACAAAAATATTCTAAGTGCAAAACAACAAATGACATGGGTTAAAAAAATGTGATGTGAACTATAGTGCATACTAGGCATACGAGTAAAATAATCATGGACAGATCCTAGTTGTGTGAAAAAATTGTGACAATGGTCCAAGTCATAGGGTTTGGCTACGATGACAAGGTGCAAAAATAATCAACTTAATCGGAGCTACGATTTAGGAGATATGGCCATTTGAAGTTTGAATTCAAATCTGAATAAATTTCAAATTTGAATCTGGCAAAGGTTTGCAAAGATGGGTTCCCTAGATAGATCTAATCAGGACGAAGAACCTGCCGTTGGTTTCATCGAGTTTGGATCTACGGTTAAAATTTTGTGGCTAGTTGAAGTTCAGGGACTAATCTGCTAAATTCAGGGACTAAACAATGAAACAGAAAAGAAGAAAAACTGCGAACAGGCCCTTGGCCATGTGGCAGGTTCCTACTGGATGAGCAGCATCCGATGCAGGACTTACACGGCGAACGGCCGAATCTTAAGCAAAACGGCGGCGGCGGCTAAACTAGAAGAAAAACCAATATCGGTTTAAAAATAAAACCACACTGTTAATTAAAACCGCGGTTAACCGATTCAAACTAAAAAAATCCTAAAAGAACGGGGTGGAGGCGGGCGGCTCACAGTGGGCAACGGCGTCGGCGTCGAGCAGGGTCTCAGCATCGGCGGAGCGGCTTGTAGGACCTTGAAGTATGTCTAGAGGGGGGTGATTAGACTACTTGACCAATTAAAAACTTAACTTTTTCCCAATTTTAGAGTTTGGCGGATTTTAGCTATCTTAGGACAAGTCAAGCAATCATCACACTATTCAAACAAGCATGCAAAGAGTATATAGGCAGCGGAAATTAAAGCATGCAACTTGCAAGAAAGTAAAGGGAAGGGTTTGGAGGATTCAAACGCAATTGGAGACACGGATGTTTTTGGCGTGGTTCCGATAGGTGGTGCTATCGTACATCCACGTTGATGGAGACTTCAACCCACGAAGGGTAATGGTTGCGCGAGTCCACGGAGGGCTCCACCCAAGAAGGGTCCACGAAGAAGCAACCTTGTCTATCCCACCATGGCCATCGCCCACGAAGGACTTGCCTCACTAGCGGTAGATCTTCACGAAGTAGGCGATCTCCTTGCCCTTACAAACTCCTTGGTTCAACTCCACAATCTTGTCGGAGGCTCCCAAGTGACACCTAGCCAATCTAGGAGACACCACTCTCCAAGAAGTAACAAATGGTGCGTTGATGATGAACTCCTTGCTCTTGTGCTTCAAATGATAGTCTCCCCAACACTCAACTCTCTCTCATAGGATTTGGATCTGGTGGAAAGAAGAATTGAGTGGAAAGCAACTTGGGGAAGGCTAGAGATCAAGATTCATATGGTAGGAATGGAATATCTTGGCCTCAACACATGAGTAGGTGGTTCTTTCTCAGAACTGGTAAGTTGGAAGTGTAGGTTTAGTCTGATGGCTCTCTCCACGAATGAAGAGGAGGTGGAGGGGTATATATAGCCTCCACACAAAATCTAACCGTTACACACAATTTACCAAACTCGGTGGGACCGATTCAACAGACTCGGTCGGACCGATTTAGTAAACCTAGTGACCGTTAGTGATTTTCGATGGGACTGACATGCAACTCGGTGAGATCGATTCGGTTAGGGTTAGGGCATAACGTAATCTCGGTAAGACCGATTACATAAACTGGGTGAGACCGATTTTGGTAATAAGCTTTCCAGAGAGTTGGTCAGGTAAACTCGGTGGGACCGATTTGCTCTTTTCGGTGTTAAAAAGGGAAACAGACAGTTTACATTGCAATCTCGGTGGGACCGATTGCTCACTTCGGTTTGACCGAAACGTTACGAAGGGAAACAGAGAGATTACAATCCCATCTCGGTGAGACCGAGATCCCTATCGGTAGAACCGATTTGCCTAGGGTTTGTGGCAGTGGCTATGACATTTGAAATCGGTGGCGCCGGATAGGAAGAATCGGTGTGACCGATTTTGGCTTTGGGTTTAGGTCATTTGTGGATGTGAGAAAGTAGCTGAGGGTTTTGGAGCATATCACTAAGCACATGAAGCAAGAGGCTCATTAAGCAACACCTCATCCCTCCTTAATAGTATTGGCTTTTCCTATAGACTCAATGTGATCTTGGATCACTAAAATATAAAATGAAGAGTCTTGAGCTATTGAGCTTGAGCCAATCCTTGTCCTTAGTATTTTGAGGGATCCACTTTCATCATCCATGCCATGCCATTCATTGAGCTTTCCTGAAATATATGTCTTGGAATAGCATTAGCTCAATGAGCTATATGTTGTTATGAATTACCAAAACCACCTAGGGATAGTTGCACTTTCACGGCTACCTGCGGCGGTCTTCGGCGGCAGGAAAGAAGGCGACGAGGTCCGGCGGGTCGAGGGCGTCGCGGTGGTAGTGGCGGGGCTCCTCGAGGTGGCCGGGACAGGCGAGGCAAAGGGCGGCGGCCCGGTGTTCTGGCGGGGCGTCGACTCTGGCGATCTAGGGCGAAACAAACATGTCAAAACGACGCGCACTGGCACGGGCGTAAGATTGACGAGGAGAAGGAGCTCGGTCCGGCTTACGGGCGATGACATGCTCCGGTGAGGAAGCTCCGGTCGGCGAGATGCAACCGGCGCCATCGAGCGGTAGGAGCGGCGTGGGACGATGGGGAAGGCGAGTTTGACAGAGGAGGATGGGAGGGATTTTATAGGCGAAGGGAGGAGTGCGGGGAGCGGCCGGATAATGCTTATCCCGAAGGAGCCGGCCCACTCAACAATTTGGCCCGCGACCACCGCGCTTCTGGCCCAAGCCAACCCCGTGCCCGATTTCCTTACCCGCCTATCGCCCGCTGCCTCTTCCCCTCCTGCACTCGCTGACGAGTGGGACCCGCCCCACCTTGATGTCCCAACCTCCGCGGAGAGCATGGGAGGGACACCGCGCGTGCCGCCCGAACGCGCCGGCCGCCTCCTTTGGGATAAGCATCATCCGACCACTAATCGCACTTCTTCCCTCGCCTATAAAATCCCCCCCCCCCTGCATCCTCCTCTGTCGATCCCGCCTTCCTGCATCATCCCATGCCGCTCCTACCGCTCGCTGTCGCCGGTTGCATCTCGCCGGCCAGAGCTTCCTCGTCGGAGACTTTCGTCGCCTGTAAGCTGGACCGAGCTCCGTTCTCC